ATACAGGGACAGGAATGGGGACTGTCACAAAGGTTTCATCTGCATGGCAAACAGAACCGGCATAAGAAATCCACACCGAATAAATGAAAAGTACCAAATCAAGGCCTTTGTATTTTTGTCAGAATATATTTGATTACAATCTACCTCCTGAATGGCTTCCGGTGCTGATAAAATGACTATTTTTCTGAATGCTTTCCAACTTTCACCTTAGCAAGGAGCCGCATCCCCCAGGTTTAAGCTGAGTAGGACATTTTGAGAATTCTTGCATGTGATGTTTCAGGTGTTCACTGAAATCTTCTAATTGAAATTTTTCTTTTTAAAGAGCCAGGCATAACACATAGTGGCCTGCAGTGAACTTGTAAGTAACTAACTTCCCCTATATTTTTCCCTCACACCACCACCAAGTTGGGGTTTATCCAATAAATATCTGCTCAGCCACTTTTCTGACTTGAAATCCAGGGCTTTATTCTTACTCCTGTTTATCCAATTTAATCTAGTTGGGTTTGGCCTAGCATTAGTTCTGACTGGACCAGACCCATCTAGTCCCTGAGAGAAGTCATTTCTCAATACTAATTGTCTTTTGGACTAACTCATTCTGAATTGAGAAATAGTTTAAGAAATGAAAAAACAATGCAGGCTTTTCCAGTCTACTAAAAAAAAAAACTATTTTTGTCTGCTGGAAGAGATGGAAGAATGAGTTAGATGCTGAGCCTATTTTAAGTTTCTCATACTGATCTGGTCAAGTTTGTCTTTTTAAAAGCCAACGCAATTTCTCACATAAGACTAAGGGAATTTAATATTTAAAGATATAGTTGTTAAAATAATAATGCACATTATTGAATAATCCCTAAAATATTAAGTATTTACTACAAAACACAAAATGTGCTCACCTTTTTAATGCATTACCTCAGATACTCATCACATCCATCCTGTGAGGGAGACAACGTTATCATACATATTTTACCAACGAGAAAACAAAGCCTTAGAGAAGTTACGTAACGACTTGACAATATGCAAAGTTTTGTTGGTTTTAATTAAGAAAAATGCTTCCAACATCTTTGTGATCGTTTAATAAAATAAGGGGTAAATAACCTCCATATTTAAACTGGAATTGGAGAAGACTATTTTCTGGTGACTTCACAAGCATCTGCTTCAAGTAATGTTTCCTGATTTTATTACATTATCACAATTATGGCCACTGCAAAAGTCCAACAATGTATTAAAATGAATAATTTCTTAAAAATGCCCGAGACTTAAACAGATACCTAGTATTCTGATTACTATGCATTAGGATAATCTAAAATAAAGATACCCCTTTAGTAAGAAAATTACAAGTAAATTCCTTTCTGTTAGGAATTCACTTCATTCTGGTTCAAATCTCATTCTGATTCTTTGCTCACTCAAAACTGAACCATTAATTACTCATCTAGTTTGTAAAACAACTGCACTATTGGTATGCTGCCAAATTTTGTAAGACAGCTGTTTAAAACTAGTACTTTTCTTTAGGTTTTCATACACACACACACATACACAGATGAGACAGAGTCTTGCTCTGTTGCCCAAGCTGGAGTGCAGTGGTGCAATCATGGCTCACCGCAGCCTCGACCTCCTGGGCTCAAGTGATCCTCCTACCTCAGCCTCCCCAGTAGCTAGGACTACAGGCACATGCCACCACACAGGGTTAATTTTTGTATTTTTTTGTATAGATGGGGTTTTGTCATGTTGCCCAGGCTGGTCTTGAATTTCGGGGCTCAAGTGATCCTTCTGCCAATGTGCTGGGATTACAGGCATGAGGCACTGCTCCCAGCCTAGGTTTTCTTTTATACAGAACCAAAATGTGGTCCTTTCAAAGTCTGTATGAATCATGAATCAGAATAAAGTGAAAAAGAAAATTTAATACCCTATTCAATAAATATAATTAAAATGTATTATCCTGTGTATTTTGAATCTCGGAAATAACTATAGAATCCAAAGAAATAGTGAAAAATTTAAACAGTACTCAAGGCTTTATCCTAAAGTCAGATAATTAGTAGGAAGCATAGCTGATAAACTGTGCAAGGTCAGTGAAGAGCCTTGCGGTTGGTGTAAAGTCCAGCCTAGCTCTTCAGCTATTACTCAGAGTGGGACACCTATCTGGATGAAGAAAGCCAGTGGCACACCCTGATTCACTTAAAAATATATATACTACTTTTATGTGTAAAAGTGTATGAAGAGTGAAATACTACAGATTAAGTGGCACATACCGATTTCATTTTCACTTAAGAAGTATTAATGAAAAGCCCATGAATGTAACACAATACATTCCTTAACACTTGGATTTCCTGGAGACTGACTATATCACTATATTCTCTTGTCTACTTCCCTGTTCTTACCAGGCCCTCTCATCTAAGATGAACTTTTATAGAGTCAAGCCCAGCAACAGTAAGAATAAGGCTGGGAAGCTAAGCAAGAGCCAGAGCATTGTGGGTTTCTTCCTACTTTGGAGATTTTGTGTTTTAAATTAACTTTAAAAGAACAGGGAACACAACAAAAGCTAGAAAAATGCACTGAAAAATCTAGAGAAATGTGTTAGAAATGCACTTTAAAAGGAGGGCTCACTAAAACTAATGAAAAGCAGGGCCAGGGTGCCTGTCTCTGCTAGAAGAGTCAGGAAAGGCTTCACAAAGGTGACCCCAGTTTTAGAACCAGAGGTACAGAGACAAATTCTAAAGTTTCTGCAGAATATGGAAGGCTGAAGTTGATCTTCCCACGGGAGGCAGACAGAAAATCCTCCTCCCAGGGCAGGCTACAAGGACGTGCAATTGTGCACTCATAAGGGTTACACGCTTAGGAGCGCCCCGTACTCAGAAGGAAGGGCCTGGCACTTGCTTTTATGCTATGCCTGAGCTAGCATTATCCTTTCTCTGCTGACATCCAGTCAGAGGGCTACTAACTCTTCCTTCTAAATGTTCTTCTAACTGTCCTCTTCTCCACTTAAAACTACTTCTCATTGACTCCAACTTAAGCAGCAGCCTCCTAATGGGCCTTGTGTTTACCCTCAAACTACTTTATAAGATGACTGGTCTTTCTAAATGGCATGTCTGATTCTGCATTAAATCATTTCCCTTTGTAATTGATAATCCAATGATGTCACCATTAGTAAATAATGACTGACTTCAGCAAGGAATAGTGGGTGTATTATTTTGTTGGCTCAACACCTGTACTTCTTTCAGGCACGCCATTCCGCTTCTTCTGGTAACCCAACTCCACCCTTTACGAGAATGTCCTTCCCATGCAAGCTGGCACCTGAACCTAGCTGGGCAAATCAGAGCCTTTCCCTGGGATTTTGTTAGGATGGCGGAGGCTGCAAGATGTCAAAACCCAGAAGCTGTCAGAATCCATGATTCCTGCCAAGTGTGGAAAGCTGTCAATGCCAACAGTCAGAAATAAGAAATGGAGAGTCCTAGCAGTTTGGGTTCCTGGTTCTAGCTTCTTGAGACCCACCTGGCATCTCTAATTTTCTGTTTAACTCTGGTTTTTCTGAGACAATAAATTCCTCTTTTTGCTTAAGTTAATAAAGCTGGGTTTCTTGCTGGTACACAATATGGCAATTCATTATTTGGTTCGTACTTCTCCACCTAACCTATCTCCCCTTGTAAGCTCTCACACACAGTTTATAATAAAACGCTTAATATTCCACGAATTCAACATGCTATCACACCTCTGCACCTCAGTCTCTGCACCTCTGGTTCCAACACTGGGGTCACCTTTGTTAAGTCTTTGCTGACTTCCCTAAGAGAGACAAGCACCCCAGCTTGCTTTCCTTTAGTCTGTGCCTAAGTGCAAGTTCTTACGGCAAAGTACTGCAACTGCCCTTGTGGATGACTGACTTGAGCCCGGCAGAGCAGTTAAGAACTTGGACTCTGGAGCCAAACTGAGCAGCTCCCCACTGAGTGGCTATGACCTCTCTGCCAGTTGGGCAGGCCTCTCCGCAACTCAATTTCTCATTCATAGAGAGATAAATAACGCCTACTCTAGAAGATTGTTGTGAACACAGAACCAAAACGTGGACCTTTCAAAGTCCGTATGAATCATAAATCATAATATAATAAAAAAGAAAACTGAATTGAAAAGGTTTACTGATTTCTCTGGAGCTCGTAATCACAATTACTCTGCACTCAGAAAAGCCATCCTCAACATCTGTTTCCTAGGAAATGTCAATAAGCAGGTGGAAATAAAATGCTCCGAAGAACAAACCCAGACGAAGAGACCTATTGCCAAATCTGCAAGTGAGTGCCGGCAATCCACCACTTCCAGACTGGGAGTGGCCACTTCTCAGCTGCCACTCACTCCTCAGCTGGCGACAGAATGCATACTCTCCTACTCTAAGCACTTTGAGTCTCCCCCGTAAGAAGTATTTAAGCCACGAACTGAGACCACGATGTCACATGCTGATCAGGACATTCACAGTCATGCGTCACTTAACGATGGAGATCCGTTCTGAGAAATGGAGAAATGTCCCCTTAGGCAATTTCTTCGGGCAGTAGCGCACTGACACAACCCCAGATGACACAGCCTACTGCTCTAGGGCATGAACCTGTACAGCCTGTCACTGCACTGAACACTGCAGGCAACCGTAGCATACTAGTGAGTATCTGCGTATCTAAACATAAAAAAAGTACAGTAAGAAAACGATATTATAATCTTATGAGACCACGCTGGCCCACATTGACCGGCAACGTCCTTCTGCAGCGCACAATCGTATTTAAAAGTGGATTACAAGAGTCAGAAAAACAAGCGGCGTGATTTGTTGTGGCGGCAACCAGGAAACTGACGAGTGCAAACCACTGGGCCCCAGTGTCGCGACCCAACCTCGCCTCCCCGTCGCCCGCTCAGGGCCCGACGCAGGGGTCCCGAGAAAGGGCGACCGCGGAGAAGCGGGGCGGGGCTTCTCGGCTGGGGCGGATCTCGCCCTCCCTCTAGTCCCCACCCGGCCGCAGCCCTGCCGCGAGCGACGGTACCTGAGGACGGCCCCAGATCCGCGGTGCCCATCTCAGCCCTGCTCACACTCTGCATGACAAGGGGCAGAAGAAAGAGGAGAGCCATGCTGCTACCGACGGACGCCGGCTCCAATCCAGAGCTACTGCGGACCGGGCCCGGCGCGGCCCTCCAGCCTCCGCCTTGCGTCACTTCCGTCACCGGGGTCTGTGTAGGCTGCGGCAGGAGGCGGGACCAGGGCGTGGGCGGAGCCAAGTCCGGGAAGCCGCAGGAGGCGGACTCAGCAGGCGGACTCAGGCGCCACACCCCGTGGTGAGCAGGGCGCCCTGCGGTCGGGACCTGGGTTTCTCGGTGTGGGAGGAACTTGAGTGCAAAGGTTAAGGTCTTTCAGCCTGGCACCCCATTCCGCAATTCTTCTTCCAGTTTTTTTCAGTATCCTGGGGTTGCGAAAGTTTGCATTAGGCCACAGCCGACCCACAATCCTTATTTTACTAACTCTTAGACTTCACCTGGGTGTCTTGGAGCCTGACATTTTTAGAAAAGAAAGAGACTTCAAAAGCCATTTCCAGTCCCTGCTTTTTCATTTGGGGAACCTAAGACTTAGCTAGTGAAGTGGTTTGTGCAGGTTCCTACAGCCCAAATCAAATCGGCTTGGCCAAGAACTACTTTGTTCTTGGAGAAAAAAACTATTTGCATTACCTTCTCAGCAATTCAGTGTCAAATCAGTTTATTAGGCAGCCTCTCATGAAGAGGTCTGCTTTCTTACCTCTCTGGGTTTGTCTGTTATTTTGCATCTCTCCCATTCCACTGCAGTCACGTTGCTAAATCATTCAGCGCTTGTGCTCAAACATGCATATGTCTAATGATCTCACGGGCTTCAATTCTGAGTATCATGACCTTTTGTAAAAATTTTAAATTGCGACACACCCTCTCCTCCTCCTTACTTCCCCTCTACTGTTTCTTCATGGCACTTTTCACCTTGCTGTACACTATAATGTACACCTTGATATTTGTTTTCTCCTGAAATGTAAGCTCCGTAGAGCTGACATCTTTACTTGGCACTCAATATTTGTTGAGTGAAAGAGTGCATGATTACTAGTGTTAAGGAAAATTGTTAAAGACGGAAAATCCTTAAGGGATTATCAGCCTGATCATTTTACTTGTATTAATAAATCCCTTAGCTCAGTACTTCTCAAACTTCAACGTACATGTGAACCTTCTGCGGATCTTGATAAAATGCAGATTTGGATTCAGTAGTTCTAATTCAGGTTAGGTCTTGAGATTTTGTATTTCGGACAAAATACACCGGGGATGCCAGTGCCCCTTTCCATAGGACTACATTTTGAATCAGAAGAATTTAGCTCAATCTAGACTAAGTTTAGGGAGAATATTTTCTTTGATGTGTTTCTGATGTCCACTATGTGAAAGACGCCTTCTAGTCGTTATAAGGATGCAAGGATAAATAACTGATCTTTACTGTTTAGGCGTTTATGGAGTAGAACAAAATATGGTATCCAGCTTGTAAACATTTTTGTAGTACTCGTCACACACTGGGTTACCCTGGCAGTAAACTCTGAGGTCGAGATTAAGGTATAAGACATTGATTAGGGAGTGCTCTTGGAATAAACCTCTGTGAAGGGGAGGTGGAGGAAGCAGAGCCTAGGAAGAAGCTGATCTGTGATGCCATCCCAATAAAGACTCCCAAGGGGCTCTCTGGAGTTGGGATGGCCTTGTAAAGGTGTGTTGAGTTGGTATGAGGGGCTGGGCCTTAAAGCCCAACACTGATTAGTCATTGAATACCAACTGTCCCTGAAATGGCACATGATTTGGGGTCTGTCCATTTCTTTCATGGAGGCGTTCCCCAGAGGAAGGCTGAAGGCTGAGTGTGTCTACTAGCAGCACCCCTAGCATCAGGAAGGGGACAGAACTGAGTCGTCTGTTCCTGAGAGGGATCTGGGCAAGTTTCACAATCACAGCACCCACCACCCTACCTATCCTGAAGACTGTGCTAGTTAGTCATTTGGAGACTAAATATATTTATTAATTGGGTGAATATTATCAAGTGATACTGTGTGTGACCGACATGGTGAAACACTGAGATAAAGACCTGAGCAAGACAGACATGGCCCCTGCCCTCATGGAGCTTACTGCCTACTGAGGGAGATAGCTGTGAAACAAGGAATTACACAAGTACTGAAATCATGATCATCATTCCCAAGGAGAGCAATGGGAAGAGATTAAAGGAGCATAACCAAGAATTTAACTTAGTCTACATTTTAAGGAAATTCTTTTTCTTTCTTTTGAGACAGTGTCTCTCTCGGTCACCTAGGCTGCAGTGCAGAGGTATGATCATAGCTTACTGCAGCCTCAAACTCCTGGGCTCAAATGATCCTCTTGCCTCAGCCTCCCAAATAGCTGAGACTACAGGTGTACACCACCACACCTGGCTAATTTTTTTTTTTTTTTTTTGAGACAGAGTCTGGCTGTATCGCCTAGGCTGGGGTACAGTGGCACAATCTAAGCTGACTGCAACCTCCACCTCTCTGGCTCAAGCCATCCTTCTACCTCAGCCTCCCAAATAGCTGGGACCACAGGGGTTTTTTTTGGGTGTTTTGTAGAGATGGGGTTTCACCATGTTGCCCAGGCTGATCTCAAACTCCTGAGCTCAAGCAATCCACCCACCTTGACCTCCCAAAGTGCTGGGATTACAGGCATGAGCCACCTTGCCTGACCTTATTCTGGCTAGTTTTTAAATTTTTTATAGAGCTGGGGTCTTGCTGTGTTGCTCAGGCTGGTCTCAAACTCCTGGGCTCAAATGATTCTCCTGCCTCAGGCTCCCAAAATGCTGGGATTACAGTTGTGAGCCACTGTGTCTGGATTTAGGGAAATTCTTTTTTAAGGAAGTTTTCATTTTGTTATGACCTGAAGGATAAGGTAAAATTAGCCTGAATAAAGTTAAAAGATGGAGATGACCACAGACTAGTAAGAGAGGTAGGAAGAAGAGCAATAAACTGTATTTTTGAATCCAATATAAAAATCTCATACAGCTAACACAGAAACAGATGAGCGGCGCCAGCTTTCCTTGATAAATTTCCAGTGCCTAATGGCTGGGGAATATCCAAGCATACGTTGGTTCCCGCTAGAGCCTCAGATTAGTTTTTAAAATGAAGAAAATAAACTGGGGAGGAGCTTAGATCATTCTAAAGCCAAGTGTATACTGAAGTGCTGCTCAGGAGCAAGGCTACATTTTGAAGACCACACTCACATGCCTTTCAAGTTCACAGGCCAAATAAAACAATTTAAGAAGCTAGAAATATGATCTAATGAGAACAGAGCCTGTGTGTGCAGCACAAACTGTGCATTTTGGTTCTGAGCACAGTGCATTTCCTTCCTCTTTTCTCCAAAGCAGAAATGTCTGCCAGCTTCCCTTTAAAGGAGACAGCATGAAAGTTTGTAGCTGTAGCGTGTAGTTCTAAATTCCCCTGATTCGTCTGTAAATTATAGACAATACTCTTGCCCTCTCACATTCTACCCATGCCTTTACACTGTCCCTTAGTTAACTTTGTTTATTCCATAGTACTTATTATTATCTGGAGATTCTACTGGAAATTTAATATATCTACTAAATTTGAATTAAATATGAATACATTATATATGTTAAATGTATGCATATATATATTTCACAAATAATTACTGAAATTGTAGTAATTGTTACCAAGGGGTGTAACAGGATTATAAGTGCATAAACAGGGACTTAATCTGAGATTTAAGGAAATGCCTCCGTGTGCATGTGTGTGTGCATACTTAAATATATGTATATACACACATAGAAAATTTTGTTTCAGTAGTCTCTTTCTCTAAAAAATAAATTTGTTTTCTTCACTGTCAGATCCCGAGCACCTAGCCAAGTGCCTATTACTCCATTAATATTTGTGGAATATTGATGATCCTGAATCATCAGTAGTATGATTATGATTATAATCCCGAATCATCAATGTCAGCATTGAGCAGCTGAACCAATGTCTGTGGCCACTTATTAAATAAATATATGATGAACAAAACAAGCTTGTAAAGAGGTGTGGGACTGAAGCAGGGATAGTTGAATTTATGGCTGGCTAAGCTATAATTGGGTCACTGATAAGAATTTAGAGAGATATTTGGATATCATATTGATACTCAACAAAGCACTATCCTCTTGCCTTGCGCTCAACCCTCTTCTTAGCTCTCATGCTGACATCCGATTGTATCAGACCAACCCCTGGCTTGAAGATGGTTATCCATAGACAATCAAGAATTCTAGTAGATGGCTTGTCTTAGAGCACTGCCTAGGGTAGATGCCACATGCTGTGTGGTGACTGGCAGATACTACTCATTAGCTGACTGCTAACAGCTCTTCTCAGTCCCCTTCTACCTTGCTGCCTCCCTACTGTAGAGGCTAGACAGGCTTATTACTCCCTTTCCCAACCTTTGTGGCAGCTAAGTGTAGGGATGTGACATAGTTTTGGTCAGCAAAACACAAGCAGAAGTCTGTGAGGTGTGTGTATGTGTGGTGGGCGTTGGGGGTATAATGGGGGAGAGGATTGCAAAGCATTCTGTGAGAACTTTTCCTTTCTCATAGAAGGGGCAGATGCAATGGGAGAGTTTGCTGGCTTTGGCCCTTTTCCAATCTTCTTGCCTTGAATGTAGATCCAGTAATGCTGGATCTTGGCATTTTGCAACCATGAGGCAACAAGATTGAAGATGAAAAGTCAACAGCTACCAGTGAAGAACAGGAAGATGGAAAGCCTGAATCATCGTCAGCATTGAGCTTCTGAACTAATGTCTGTGACCACCTGCCTTTGGCTTATTATGGGAGAAAAAAATAAACTCCTATTGCTTTAAGTCACCATCAGTTCGATTTGCTGTTAATTGTGCAGTTTTTGTTTTTGTTTTTAACTCAGTGTCAGGCCAACCTAAATAGATTCGCTTTCAGCGAGTTGGAATGTAAACCATGATGGAGAAGAGGATGACTGGGTGGAAGGGAGAAAGGAGAAAAGAAGAAACAACAAACTCAAGTACAGGATGTAGAAGACTAGAATAGTAAGCAAAGAAGATCACTTGTTGAGGGGAGAACAAGAGGCCCAGCAGCCAGAGACTTAGCAGAACCACCATGTGCCCTGAACAGTGCTCCCTCACTGTGCTGCCTGGGCACTAGCTCACTGGTGA